CTGGCTTAGGTTTATTTGGGTTGGGTTGGGTTGGGCTGGCTTAGGTTCATTTGGGTTGGGTTGAGTTGGGTTGGGTTGGGTTGAGTTGGGTTGGGCTGGCTTAGGTTTATTTGGGTTGGGTTGGGTTTGGTTGAGTTGGGTTGGTTGGTTTGTTGGACGTGAACATGCCCCTGTGGCATTCTACTCTCCTGACTAGTGCTTGTCTGTGCACCACACTCAAATTCAGGTAATAACATGTATGCCAGAAACCAATGGCACACAGTCTGTCTTTCAACTTTCAAAGGGCATCAAGCCTTATGCAAAGTAATTGTGGTTTGGCTCTATTTCAATTCCTTCTGAATCTTCTAGTATTTTAGCGGTTTCTTTTTCTCATGTTTTTCTGAGTTTACATGTTTCTTTGTTTTTCAGGCTATCACCTGTGGCGTAGTGACCTGCGGGCAGAGGACACCCCTCATGAGAGTGGACTAGGCTTTTTGTGCAAGTTGAAGACAGACACTCAATTCCTTGGTAGAGGGGCAGTGGAAAAGCAAAAAGCTGAGGGGATCCGCAAGAAGAGGGCCTGCTTCACAATAGAGGAGTGAGTGACATGAGATATAAAAATTCTGTGTTGGATTTTGTACAGGGTTCTGATTGACACAGTGACTGCTAATTTGCATATTCCACACTTAACTCATGCCCACTGAAGTAAGTCTAAAAAAACAAGATGCCCAAATATGGTGCCATCAAGCAAAGTGAAATAAGTCTGGAAATAAAAACCCTCATCACATCTTTACTTGTTCCAACTTCTTGTACTTCTTAAACAAAGATTGTATCAACATGGGGTTCTCACTTCAAGAAAAACCGGTACACTTGACCAGGGTTAACAAAAGACCCATTTTGCTTGAATGTATCACAATTGACGATAGTATTTTTACATGTTTTTATGTGGAGTGTGGGAGGAGAGTGTGACTGGCATTGAGTCATGCTTTCCCATCTCTGTCTCTTTTTAATGCAGCCATGTGCCCCTCCTCGGCTTTGAATGCATCCGACGCAACGGCCAAGTCGTGGGTCACATTCGGCGGGGGGAGTATGGCTACTACATCAACCAGAACCTGGGCTACGGCTATGTGAGCAATCCCAACGGCGATGCCGTCACCAATGAATTCCTTCAGGAAGGTGACTACACAATTGAGAGAATGGGTGAGATCTATCCTGCCCAGATCCACCTGAAAAGCCCCTTTGACCCCCAGAACAAGCGACTGAAGGGCATTTACGAGGGCAATTAGGTTTGAACGACCAAGTAAGATGGCATGCCACGCAGTGACTTTGTCTACCCTCAATTTCTTTAAAAGCACAGTTATGTGTAGGAGACAGTTGAGATGTGAGATTTAGGTGGCGCTTTGGGGAAGAAAGCATACTTGTTTCCTTTTAATTGCTTTGTCTACATGCTTCTATTGGTATGACTACGTTTCCTTATTTCATTTACCTACTATTAACAAATTACTTGGGTAAGTCTTTTTTTGAGCGGTGGTGTGATGAAAGTAGAACAAGTCTTGATATGAATGACAGAATAAAAAACAAAACAGGACAGCCTGTTGGTATTATCAGCAGGGGGCATACATCTTAAAGTGTCGCTGCTATGAATTTTTCTTACACGGCATTTGTCTTCACTTTGTATACTTCTTCAGTGAAAAATGCACATTTTCAATCAATTAAAATATCCATGCTTTCGTGGAAAAATGAGGCCGCTGTTGCTGCAAAGTCATCTAGGGAAGACATAGTTCAGTACATACCGGTAGGCTTTTCTGTTCAAATTGTGAACCCCAGATTTACTAACTGAAAACATTTCTAAGAATGGGATTGCGTCCAGTAACATCTACAAAACGCAGGACAAACCAGTGTAACATTGAGGCTTTTTCCTGGGAGGGTCTCATTAATATGGTTTGTATTAAAACAAATTGATTGCAGCTACCCTTCAAAACTAGATTGCATTCTTGGGTTTCAAACTCATGACTTGACCATATGCTGCCGGGGAACCCTGTTTGTGGTTTGTATGCATAGCCGGGGTGCCAGAAATTGGACAAAAGAGCTGGGCTTTGTAACAAAAGACCATACTCGGGAACAAAAGACATGCTGCTGGGAATTGCCATCATTTTTCAGCTTGCATTTATCAGAGGTAATCCATCATTGCTTTGAAACAGCATACAACTATTTTCGGCATAGCGCACCCTCAGATTAGCACGGCGGACAAAAGTGCTCCAGCTCCCCATCGATGAGCGATACGTTACCGCTGCACGCTAATCCAGCCGCGTTTGAAAAGATGCCACAGGCATTTACTGGGACCAAAGGAAATTACGTAACACCTCGCAATTCTGGGCTGTCTTGACATGGCAGCAGGCCTGGTTGAAGTACTTGGGGGTCAATGAAGGTTGCCTGTCAGATTAGAGTAACCACCAGACAGTCATTCGTGTAGGTGTAAACGTCCATTAAGTGAAATTATGAACTTTTGAGGATTTTTGAATACGGAAAATTTTGAAAATCGCCCGTATGTAGGCACTGCATTTTTAAAAGCACCTGGCAGGAAATGGTTAATGCAGGTAGCAAACCCAAAATGGAAGAAAAGGGACAAACTATTTCGAATAATTTTTTGGTCTAATTACATGCATTCAATTTTGGTTTGGTGTCTCGGATACGATAATTGTATTGTGCAGTTATTTTAGTTATTATGTCTGAAGTTTACTGTCTTATTTTTGAAGAAAATAATGTGAAATATTTGAATTGGACAGAAATTTTCCTATATTATTAATCTTTAAAATTTAGAAAAATTTTGTAGAGTCGGATATTTTTAGTACCATATGTGCACTTTTTGTATAAAAAAGAAGAAAACCTCATGGCAGGATTCAAGCTTCCAGACTCTCTGATTGATGTTTGATGTTGGTCCAGTGCAGATCCAACATCCTGAATGAGATGCTGGAGAGTGGAGATAAAGCTGTACAGTTGGTGTAGGTACGATGTTGTCTAATTACCATATCACGACCGTGTTACAATTTAATAGGAGTACAGTGATATTCTCTCAGGAAAAATTGGAGGTCTGAATTTGGTGAAACATCAGCATTGTTGGTAATCTCCTAGAGTTATACTAAGTTTGCTAATTCATCACATAGAATTAGTAATTTTACGCAAAAAAAAGTTGTGATTTGGAGAATGGCAGTAGCACTCGTGTTTTGGGGACCAATCTTTATCCCATTATTTTGGAGTTGATTTATGGATTGTAGTCTTTGAATTAAATATTCATGTAAGGCTGGGAAGTTTTGGGTTTTTTGATCTAGAAACGCTCATGACTTCTTGTAATATATTAAACAAATATTGACTACTTTATAGGGTTCAGTAAAATGAGCCTCTCCAGTTGATCCATGGAGAATTCTATTTTTACCATGGGAAAATGGAATGTTCCATGATGGACTAGCAAGGGAGGCTTGTTTCACTACACCATGAGATAAAACAGTCAATTTTGCTTAATCTGCTCGGAGCGGAACAAAAGAGGGCTTGTTTTTGGTATTCACCACAGACATAAATACTCACTTTATAGGCGCGCGTTTATAATGGAGATCAGTGGAGTGTTTGACGCGGAGCACGCTGAGTACGTGTAACGAATTTATTCCTTAATGTGTGGTCTTTGTGTACATGCAGAATGCCTGCAAGAACCTGCATGGAAAACTTACAATCAGCTGTCTTTCTTTTGCCGCTTGGGAGTGCACTTCAGCTCGGGGCGGATAACACCTCTATCACAGATTCTGCTTGATTTCAGTGAATACTTATTAATGTGATATACATGTAACTGCATATAAAAATTCCCTAATTTGAATAAGAAATTTGTTGAAAATTTACCATCGCTTTTCCAAACTACCACTTCACACATTATTTGAACCCAGCTCTGTAGTGCTAGCACTTTGGAATGTACGTCACGGGCAACGCGCACAAACTGATATGCATTTCACACAGTACCAGTAGCAATGGGTACAGTTCTTTGGTTGCTGTTGGCCCTCTTATGTTCTTTTGCCTATGCGCAAGAAGATAGCTAAAATAGGGAATGCTATTTGACTGGCTCTTGGCTAATCAAGATTCACTATCTATTGGTAAAGTGTAATGAAAGTTACTCTTCAGATTAATAATTTGTAAATCAGAGGTTGATTTTTACTTTATCAATTTTACCTCACATTCAATTTTGTCAAACCAATACACAGTATTCCATGCACTGAGGTTTTATTTGGCAGTGCACTCATATATATCTGAAAGTTAAACACAGGTGTCTTTGCAGACAATTCAACAATGGTCTTGCAGATTTTAGCTAATGAGGTATGCTGGTTAGAGTTCCACCCCAGAAGAAGGTCTGCCTCTGTCAACTTTTTACCAAAGTGTGCTCCTCGGTGCAGTATCTTTGAAAAATCACATAGGTTTGTAAACACTGATGTGGTTTATCATGGTATCGCATCGCCCGCTGTCAGGGTAAACAGCGCCATAGGAAACTATTGTGTTTGATATTTGTTACGTTGTGGAAATTGGAATGTCTGTATAAATGGGCACCTATAGGGACACAGTAGACTCTGATCCAACATAAGAGAGGGACTGGCTTTAATAGGAATCGGCCCTGTTCAAGGTGGTAGGGGACAGCCGATCCCTTTCACTAATTAATGCTCTGAGTTGAAGTGCACCCTCACAAGCACAGGAGAGAGGTTGCTGGGATGTATTTCAGTTGGGCTTGTGCACCTTCGTAGAGTGCCAAAGTCATTTTAAACCAGGAAGTGTAGTGCAAACGAATGGAGTATTCTCTCTCGTGTGTTGGTTCACTCACAGGTTCACGCGCTAATGCCTTGTACACATCACTTCAGATGTCTAAAGTGCACAAGCAAAGACTGTACATTAAAAAAAAATGTGCTCAGCACATCTCCTGTGAAACGTACATCAACCTGCGTGCACTCCAGCTCAGATAAGATAGCAAAGGAATTCATGGTAAACTGTTGTGGGTACCTTTAAAAATGTTGCCTTGTTCTTGTAGATTCCACGGATATGGAGAGGTACTGTCATATGCCAGGCTCCATATTGAATTAGGGACCAACAAAGTTTGGGTCACTAGCAACATCCTCTGATAATGCAGTGATTTTGTTTTTTAACTCAGGGTATTTACGCAAGCCAGAAAGGGTAGAGTGTGCACAGGGAAATAAGCCATTTGCGAGTTCAATTTGAATAAGATCTGGTGCACTGAGTTATCTGACTGCACATAAACATAAGAATTTGAATTCCCCAGACTAAAGACACTGTTGCGATACCTCATTCGGGGCAAGCTTTTGCATAGCGACCATCATCTCTGGAATGGACTGGTTCCTTTGCACCCTTCTTATCCATTGAGAACAGTGTATTGTTGCAAGGTGTCTCTTAATGTAACTAAGCAAAAGCTTGCCCCAAATCACGAGGTATAGCAACAGTGGTTTTAGTAAGGAGAATTCAAGTTATGTTCACATGAATTTAAAGAACTCAGTGTAACAGATTTTGGTCAAAGTTAACTCGCAAAAGGCTTATTGTCTACGCAGTCTTAACACTTGGGTATGACAAGATGCATGCATGATTATTGGCCACAGAAATGTACAAGGCAGTTTAATTTTTGTTCACAAATAATAGTTGTAAGTACAATGTACTTATTTTTCTAACCCAGTAATCATGGTGGTGTATAAATGTATCTTCACATTGAGATGATATCTGTATTCAAGATTTTTGCCTTCAGCAAATTTCAACCTTTTTTACTCCATTGCAATTTCCAGATTCGAGCTGTATTTCTTTTGTCTCTGTCACGTTGCAATGTGGAGATTCAGTTTTGATTCATTATCTTTTAGAACCGACTGAAAAGTGCCAGTCTGAAATAAAGCCATCTTCATGGTTCAAGACTCACCTTCAAAGCTCCCCTCTCTGACGTAGTTTTCCTAAGGAGTGCAATTCACTCCTGACCTATGGGTCTAAGAAAATATTCAGTGTCCTCTAGAGAATCATACTTTTCTACAACCATTTTGGTGACCCTATGCTGACTGAAACTTCCGAAGTGGGCATACTTGGGCAATATGATTTTGTCTGTATCATTACATACTTATTAATTCATATTCCGCACATATCAGGAGCATCCAATCATGTTTTTAAAAAAATGTGTCCTAGACTATTTCAGGCTCTTCCTTTTACAACATACTGTATAACCTTAACCCCAAAATGCCTCTAAACTTCTTATTCAGTGAAAAGGAAACGTCTTGTGGACATGGGCAAGTCTACAGAACATCTTCCCTTCCTGAATCGTGAGGGTGTCTTTTGTTCACAAGTCAACACTGAGTATGTAAGGTTAGTACACACATCCACACCACCCACCCCTCACATTTGTATTCTTGTGGGGTATTTCTGTTGTTATTGTGCACTAAACAATTAGTGTGAGATGTGCAGTTCCAAATCACTCCCACTTCAACCAGACTATCTTTCCTAGGTTGATATTTCAGCCCTTGTGTAAATACTTCAATTTGCAACCGCTGAGTATTTCAGGAAATTCTTGTAAGGTGTCGTTTAAGTACCCTACAGGGACAGCAAATGCTCCTTGTGGGGTGCTTCCTGTTCTGGTGCCCCACAAGGCACTGTAGTCACACGCACCAGTTTCTAAAATTTCACTCTGAGGCATGGGCAGAGATTTCTTGTCACGTGAGGGGTGATTTCTGAAAGTTCAGCATGGCCTCCATCCCAGGTGAGACTGTGGCACCAGTAAGTGCGGAGTACACTGGTGCAGGCTAAGGGTGTGCAGTCACTGACTTGAAAAGTGGGGGAGGGGGAATCATATGTATTGGTAACCCCCCTCCATCTCTGCCATGCTCTATGGCATCTCCATCCCAAATACGACTCCATCTTCAACTTTATGGCATGAAGGATAAAACCTGGAGGTTGTACATTTCACCACGTCACCTCTGTGCTTTGAGCAGGTAATAAACCAATGAACACATTGGACGTAATATTTGCATTTAACCATAAATAAATGTAAATTTAGAGGAAGAATAACCTTTATAGTCC